GAGCAGGGAGCCCGATGTGGGACCCGATCCCAGGACCCTGGGATCATCACCTGAGCCGAAGGCAGACGCTTAACGACTGAGCCACCCAGGCGCCCAAAAGATTTTATTTTTAAGCAATCTCCACACCCAGTGTAGGGCCTGAATTCACAACCCCGAGACCAGGAGTCGTGTGCCCCACCGACTGAGCCAGCCAGGCACTAACCCCTAAGCAGTTTTCCCCTCTGAAGTTTCTCCTGGTGAGAGCTGCGGAGCAGTCAGGTAGTCCTTCTGTTGTTCTTAGTAGCTGTCTGAGCGCCAGGCCCTGGATGAGGGCTTCGCATACATGCATTTAGTCTGTCTTCCAGCCCAATGAAGTGCCATTCCCCCGGTGTTACAGGTGAGGAACCGGGTCTACACAGCTGTGTGGGGGGTAGAAAATTTCTCAAAACTCCTCAGCCTCCCTCGCTCCTCGGTGGGAGTTGGGGGGCCCCCCCTCTTTGGCGTCCCCGGGCTCCCTCGCTAAAACGTGTCTCCTGCATCAGCCTGACACAGTTGCACAGGATTTGACGGACATAGAGTAGTTTCTCAAAAACCGGGGGCACGCTGCCTGACGTAGTTTCTCATTCCCGTAACCACACTGAAGACAGAGAAGATTGAGTCACCAAGAGGAGGAAGAACGAAGCCAAGCGCACCCAGCTGAGTGGTCGAGCTGGGCTCTGAGCACAGCTGGGTCTGAGGACGAGCAGAGGGAAAGAAGACAGGGTTTGGAGTCACATCGTTAAAATCACTGAAGGCATCTCAGGTTCCTTAGGGAACTATATTCAGCAGAAATAAACATCAGAGCCCGGGTCTCGGCAGAGGCAGGGCGGGGAGGGAGGGTGTGCACCTAGAGCCACCATGATGCATAACGTGTTCACATCTGGCGGTCTCCCCTTGCAGGGTGCCCACGGGGACGCCGTCATCCTGGGCATGTCCAGCGTGGAGCAGCTGACACAGAACTTGGCGGCGACCGAGGAAGGGCCCCTGGAGCCGGCCGTGGTGCAGGCCTTCGATCGAGCCTGGCACCTGGTCGCCCACGAATGTCCCAACTACTTCCGCTAGGGCCAGTCCTGGCTCCAGCTGCCAAAGGTTTCTCTCTTTTCCGCCACCTCTTCTGTTCTCTCATCCTGACCAGTCTGCCTTAAGTTGATTTAACATGGTCTTTTTTGATTGTCTGGTTCGATGCAATATTTTTCTAGATTCCCTCCTGGCTCCCAGATGCCTTCGCAGCGTGTAAAGCCTGGGGCTGTGGCCCACTTGGGACGTTCTTGTCTGAATAAAGCCGGCACTTGACCAGGCTGTTGCCCGGGCCCCGAGTAAACCCCACGAACCTGTCTCCTTTACTGTCTGCAGCCTGTTTTCATCCTGCCCGGGAGCTTACTGCCAACAGGGCAGAACCACGGGGTGGAGTCTCCAGAGGGCAGAGGTAGAGCACACACTGCCCTCAGGAAGCTCTCTCCTGCCTTCTGTACTGAATCCAGCCTGAGCTCTCAACAGCAGGGCTGAGGTGGCCCTCACTCAGCTGTGCACAGGAGAAGAAAAGCAGGCCATGCACCCTGAAGTATACTTTCTCTTATTCAGAAGCACCTCAGGAAATAGAGGCATCTAGAAATAAAATCCTTGGAGCCAAAACCTCCCAATAGCGCCCCCACTGAGAAGAAGAACGATGTTCCTGGGCACCTCCTAAGATGCTGCATGACATTTTTAACAGACTCAATGTCAGCAGTGGCTTTACTCTTGTCCTGGTGAAAGCCTCCTGTCTCCTTGTCATCAGTAGGACTCTCAGCCTTGCCCTGGGTTTCCTGCTGTTGGAGCTGGAAGGGTGGCCTGGGTAGTCATGGTCCCCATTTCCCTTGGCAAACCCCCACTCCAAGCAGGGGGCACCCAACGCTGGGGAAGAAAAATCCCAGGTCTGAGGGTTGCTTCTTGACCATTCCCAGTGCAGAAAAATCAGTCTAGCCCTGGCCAGGGGGGTGGAGTGTGGGCCAAGCAGCAGAAGTCAGCACTTGGAGCTTGCTTATCTTGAAGTGAGGAAGGGGGCTCAGCATGGAAATGCCAGAACAAACCACCAATCAGAAACACTCTTTGTTCTAAGAAATGTCCCATTTACCATCTAGAGGGAGACACCTTGCAGACAAAATTGTTTTCTCTACAGAAGCAGTCACCCTCTCTTGTCTTCATCCACAATAAAATGCATTCTTCCCCTAAACGGGATGGTGTATCGGTTACCATTGTACAATTAGCTGTCCTAAAATTGAGTTGCTTAAAATGACAAAGTCTCCCAAATTTAGATAAAGATTCAAAGCAATCCCTATCAAAAGTCCAACTGCTTTTTTGTTTTATCTTTTTTTTTTTAACAGTCATAAACAAATCCTAAAATTCAAATAGAAGTTCAAGGGACACAGAATAGCTATAATCTTGAATAAGAAGCCTACAATCTCTGATTCTTGATTTTGAAATTTACCAAAAGCTATAGTAATAAAGAGTGTGGTAGTGGCATAAGGGCAGACATACAGATCAATGAAATAGAATCGAGAGTCCAGAAATAAACCTTTATATGTACTTTGAATTGATTTTAGAGAAGTGTGTAAAGACAATTCAATAGGAAAATAATAGTTTTCAACAATTGAAGCTGGGACAACTGGATATCCACATGCAAAAGAATGAAGTTGATCCCCTTCCTCACACCATCCACACTCACACAAAATGAACTCTAAGATTGTAGACCTAAATGTAAAAGCTACAATTATAAACCTCTTAAAATACAGGAGTAAATCTTCATGCTCTTGGGTTAGGCAGTGGTCTCTTAGACGACACCAAAAGCACCAGCAACAGAAGAAAAAAAGAATTAGACATTATCAAAATTTAAAATGTGTGTGCTTTGGGGCACCTGGGTGGCTCAGTCGTTAAGCGTCTGCTTTCGGCTCAGGTCATGGTCCCAGGGTACTGGGATCCAGCCCCGCATTGGGCTCCCTGCTCAGCGGGAAGCCTGCTTCTCCCTCTCCCACTCCCCCTGCTTGTGTTCCCTCTCTCTCACTGTGTCTCTCTCTGTCAAATAAAATCTTAAATAAAATAAAATGTGTGTGCCTTAAAGGATACCATCAAGAAAGTGAAAAGGTGGGTGCCTGGGTGGCTCAGTTGGTTGAGTGTCTGCCTTCAGCTCAGGTCATTATCCCAGGGTCCTGGGATCGAGTCCTGCATCCGGCTCCCTGCTCAGTGGGGAGTCTGCTTCTGCCTGCCACTCTGCCTACTTGTTCTCTCTCTGTCAAATAAATAAATAAAATCTTAAAAAAAAAAAAAAAACCCAATGGTTAAAAATGAAAGTGTTTTATATTTATCCACCTTGACCACCCCCAGCACTTCATTTGTGTGTGTGTGTAAATTCAAATTTCCTTCTGTCTAAAAATACCTCTAGTAGAGTGAAAGTTTGCTACTATGAATGCTCTACACCTCTGCTTGTCTGAGCAAAGTCTTTATTTTGCCTTCATGTTTGAAGTATTTTCGCTTGGGTTTACGTAGCTGGAGGCTGACAGTTCCTTGTTTTCATACGTTACCATGTCTTAACACGCGCACCTGGGCTGGAGACTTTGGCAAGTCTCGACCGGAGAAGCAGAGAGGCGCTTCTGGGACCGCAGGGCGGCGGGACAGCCCGAGCGCCTCCCCCCCAGCCCCCCAAACCAAGGCCTCATTTCAGGACTTTTAGCAGGTAGGAAAGCCCCCTCCGGAACGACCCCGGGACCCCGGGACGGTTCAGAGCGAGGCCGAGGGAGGTGGGGAGACGTGGCAGCGAGGCCCCTGGAGTCCCAGCCCTCAGCCTTCGCGCTCGCTCGTAAGCCTCGCACTAGCGCCCCCTCCCGGCCCACCCGCCAGCAAAGTGCGCGGTCCCCGAAGCCCCGCGTGACGCGTGCGTGCAGCAGGGCCCGGGTGGGAGGCAGCGGAGCGAAGGGGGAGGTGGGCACACTGCCCCGCCCCCAACGCTGGTGGGCGGGGCCCGAAGTCGCTCCTCAAAGCGGCGACGGCTCGCGCTGGTTAGTGCCTCGCGCCGACCGCAGAGTGCGACGCCTGGGCCACCCGATTCTGCCGCCGCCGAAATGTCCCGGCCGCTGTCGCCGCCGCGGGCCGCCTCCGGGGCCCCGGCTCGGCCCGCCACCGTGCTGGGCGCCATGGAGATGGGGCGCCGCATGCACGCGTCCGCCAGCGCCGCGGCCGTGCGCGCCTTCCTGGAGCGCGGCCACACGGAGCTGGACACGGCCTTCGTGTACAGCGAAGGCCAGCCCTAGAGCATCCTGGGCGGCTTGGGCCTCAGGCTGGGTGGCGGCGACTGCAGAGGTAACCGCTCCGTCCCCGTGCCGCGCGGCGCCCAACCGGCCGGCCCCAGCCGTGGCCCGGCCCGCGGTCAGGACCAATGCCTTCGGCCCCTCCCGGGCGCTGACCGCGCTTTGGACCACCCCCCTGCTCCTCAGGCCCCGTGCACGTGTCGTCCCGGACAGCCGGACAGTGCTTTGTCCTGACCTTCCTTTCCTCTTCTTTTCCCTTCCGAGAAGGTCTCCCAGGACCCTCCCTCCAGCAACGTCCCACCCCAGGTCCAGTCTGGAACGACTTGGTTAGGTCTTCTAGGGGGCCCTGAAAGCTTTGGGATCTGGCGCCGTGCAGCCCCTACCTCCTTTCCCGCCCCCCGGCAGGTGCCCCGTGCAGGCCTGATCTGCTGGAACCCTGCCCGTACTGTTCTGGCGTTCCCTGGCACAGCCCCGGATCAGACTTTGGAACCTGTGGGGGATCTGCTTCCTCCTTGCTCTGGGCCGTAGACTTTGCTCCGTGGGGCTCTGGGGGCCATGCTCAGTGGCAGCGCCTGAGAGCCGCAGGGTGCTCGGTGGGCGGGGATAGGGGAGTGCGGGTGGTAGGGTGTCTAACTGCCCTCTGGGCTAGCCTCTGAGGACCTAGAAGGGAAATTGACACGAACCCACTCCGCGAGCTCGGATTCGAGAGAAGGCTGGGGAAGCCCGGAAGAGGGAGCACTTCTGGCGGGCCACTGAAGAAAGCTCAGAAGAGGGAGCATTAGACACTGAAGAACTGATTAGTTGGCCAGGAGGACAGGTGTTAGTGCTGTGGGTGTGGGCAGTGGGCGTGCCAAGGCAATGAGATTTGGCAATGCCAGGGGTGTTGGAGCAGGCAGATATAGCTAAGTGGAGGGTTTGCGTAAGGGCAGGGGACCGTCCATCACCAGTCTGATGCCATTTGAACGGCTTCAGCAGTGCCTGGCAGGTCCCTAGAGTTCAGCAATGTTGGCTTACTGTTACGGTTAGGAGTAGTAATAGTAATGTTGTTAGCACACGGCACCGTCTCTCCCTTGGGCTCTTCTCTCTCCTCTGCTAGAGTCTGCTAGGTTCTCCTGTGATTCACAGCACGCTCGATCTGGAACATAAGACAATATGCCTGCGTCTCAGTGCTCGCCCTTTTCCAGATCACCTGGCTGCTTCTCTGACCACCCTGGGTCTTATTTCTCAATGTCTTTTTTCTCCAAGCCTCCTTCGCTTCCCTCCTGGTCAGAGCTAGCGGGGCCAAAGTCCTTAAACCTCAGCTCCGAAGTTTAATTCACATGAAGAAGAGCTGGAGGAACGGAACAATTCCAAGTGAGCGGTCCTCCAGCCTGCTCATAAGTCTCAAGGAGTCAGGTGACTTGCCAGGCGCCGAGTGTTCAGGGAGGGCCAGATTCCATGGGGTGCTCCCAAGGCCCTTTCCATCGGGTCTGTGGCCCTTCTCTTGCCTTGTGTACCCCCTGACCCTGGTGCTTTGGACCCCTGGAATTGCAGTCATGGCTCCTCTCACGCCATGTTCTTTTCCTCTGGGTTTTTGCCCTTGTCCTCACCCTCTGGAATGAACTTCCCACCTTTCCTCAACTGGCAGCCTGTGACTTCCCCCTGGAGACCAAGATTCAGATTCTAAAGAAAGCCTTCCCTGAGCTCACAGGGGCCTCCCGCCTCTATGTCCTGGGCTCCCCCAGCACCTGGTGCATATCCCTGCCTCGCTTACTGTAATGCAGCCCCTTAGACAGTGCCTTCTCGAGGGCAGGGATCCCCTGTTGGGTCTACCAGCCCTTAGGGCCTGGTAAATAATCCGTCATAGTGATGACATTGGCGATGATGACAATGAACAACACGTCCATTCAAGTCCTGATCAATCCTTGGGACCAGCACACAAAATAGTACCATTGACGCTACCAATTTATAGTTGAGAGGATTGAGGCTCAGAGAGGTTGAGTAACTTTGGTGAAGGTCACAGAGGTGGTAATGGCAGAGCTGGGATGTGAACCCAGGTCTTTCTCTGAGTCATTACTCTAGACTCTCTCCAGTGTTTGGTAAACTGGCCTGAACTCTCATTTCACTCCTCCCCCAAAGCGAAAATTGCCACCAAGGCCAATCCATTGGGTGAGAATTCACTGAAGCCTGACAGTGTCCGGGCCCAGCTGGAGACATCCCTGAAACGGCTGCAGTGCCCCCGGGTGGACTGCTTTTACCTGCACCTACCTGACCACGACACCCCCGTGGAGGAGACGCTGCGTGCCTGCCACCAGCTGCACCAGGAGGTGAGGCGGGCCCCCGAGCTCCAGGAGAGTGGAGGCACCAGGGTCGTCCCAGAGCAGAGCCGGGGAAGACCCCACTCCCAGGGTCCCCACCCCCGTCTCCCCTTTGCAGTGTGCTGGGCCGCGGTGGGTTCTGACCAAGGCCTCTCCCCTGCAGGGCAAGTTCGTGGAGCTTGGCCTCTCCAACTATGCCGCCTGGGAGGTGGCCGAGATCTGCACCCTCTGCAGGAGGAACGGCTGGTTCCTGCCCACTGTGTACCAGGTGAGGGCCAGGGCTGCGGGGGGCCCCGGCTGATCCCCGGTTCTCTCGGCCCCTCCCACTGCCTCCTCTCCATCGCAGCCACTCCCCTGCTGACAGCCTGTGTCGTGGGGATGACGTGCAAGCTCCTCAGCTTGGCCAGCAGGCACCTGCTCGCTCTGGCCCTGGCTCCCCTTCCTACCTG